AAGGATAAAAGTTGTCAGTAGGTATTCAGAAAAGAAATATGCATGAACAGAAGCATTTGAGATTGTTGTTATTTGTCAAAACTCATTGAATTGAATATTAAAAATTGGTACTAATACATCAATAAAAAGGAAAACTCCCTGGAAATGTTTAATAAACCATTCAGTTAATAGAGTACCAAAAACTTCAGCTTTTGAAACTACAGCAAATAATAATTATCGAGGGGATAAAAACTTGCACAGAAGGGCAAATTGGAATTGATCCCTCCAAAAACAAGGAAGAACTGAATTATTTCAAGCAGGAAAACTCAAATGGAATGTAAGAATTAATTTTGCATTCTAAAGTTACACTATAGGGTTACTTCTGATGATACTAATTTGTAGCAGACTGAGCTTGTTTTCTATGATGAAATGGAATGAAAGTGAGAAGGTTTCACTCCAGTCTAATGGTCATATAAAAAAACAACAATGGTCATAAAATTAAAACAACTTGTTTGCAAAATTTTAAAAAACATTTGTGAAAGAAAAATTGTCATACATTTATTGATATATGTGTACATATAGATTGATATATGGTGTTTACATGTAACAATTTCATTCATCTTGGGGAATTAGTATAATATGCATAAAAATCCAATCATTTTCACTTCCCCACCCTTATCCTTCCCCCCCCAGGTCCCCTTGCTAGCTCCACAAAGTTGACCTCCCTATCTCTTGTCATCTCTTATTTTATTCATTTATTTATCTTTTGGTTTTCTCACTTAGAAGAAACTACATGGTATTTAACCTTCTGTGTCTGATTTCTTTTACTTTGCATTGTCATCTCAGGATCCATTCGTTGTTATAGAAATGACTCCAAATCTATCCTTTATGTCTTAGTAGTAATTTACAATGCATATATGCACATATTCTTTATCCACTCATGAAGGGCGTATAGGCTGCTTCTAGAAAGATTTTCTTTTTTTTTTTCTGGTACTGGGAATTGAACTCAGGACCTTGTGCTTGCGAGGCAGGTATGCTGCCACTGAGGTAAATCCCTAGCCCCAAGACTTTCTAAACATAAGCCCAGTGGCACAAGAAATGATACCAAGAATTTAAAAATTAGATTATATCAAATTAAAAAGCTTCTGTACAGCAATGGAAACAACCAACAGTGAAGAGACAACATGAAGAATGTGGGAAAAATTTTTTTCCAACTTCTCCTCAAACCAAGGACTAATATCTAAAATGTATATATAACTTCAAAAAATTAAACTCCCCTAAAATAAAAACCCAATAAAAAAATGGGCAATTGAAGTGCATAGACACTTCTAAAAAGAATACTGATAGTCAATAGGTACATGAAGAAATATTCATAGACTTGATATATGAATATATGATATGGGTTCTTTGGCCATTAGAGAAATACAAACCAAGACACTGAGACACTATCATCAAGAACTGAGAAGACACCAAATGCTGGCAAAGTTGTAGGAAAAAAGGAGCTCTTCTACATGGTTGGTGGAACTGTACACTAGTACAATCACTGTGGAGATTCCTCAAGAAAACTAAAACTAGAAATTCTGTTTGACCAACTCTGTCTCTCCTGGGTATCTTCCCAAAGAGGTGAAAGCATCATATTTCAGTTATACATGTATACACATGTTTGCAACAACACAATTCATAATAGCTAAATTATGAGAAAGGGTTTTTAAATGGAATAAAAGAGATAGTACCCATGACAAACTTAAGCAGGTATATATTGCATTTCAATAATATTCTCTTCTTACAATTTGTCTTAGGCTCAGCTATATAAGCACTTATAGACTAGTCTATCAATTGAAAATGTTATAATCCCCAGAATAGAATCTTTTTTTTTTTCAAATTAGCATCTTAAAATACAACCTTGTAGATTTAGGGCTATTTAATTTAAATAATAATAAACCTATATAAGCGGAGAGAAAATACACTTTTCAGAAGAATAATAGTGAAACATTATTTGAGATAGGTAATAGCTAAAAACCTGATTCTCCTATACATGATTATTTCAATGTATTGATGTTTCTATCTAGAAAAACTACCCTGAAAATTACTGCTTAAAATATGAAGTTTGAATTTGTGTTGCTTTATAAAACTTAATACATATGGCCCGGGGATTTAGCTCAGTGGTTTCGCCGCCTGCTGCACAAGTGCAAGGACCCAAGTTTGATCCCCGGTACCAACAAAAAAAAAAGGACCCTATAAAACTTAATGCATTTTTATTTTAATTAAATATTTTTAAAAATTGATTTTCAAAAACTATTCATAGGTTCATTAGATAATAACAGTTTGAAAGTAAGAAAATATGTATTTGAAAATTATGTAATTTAAACATGTTTAGCACCTTCTTTTACCTTCAAGAAAATCCTGCTATTTTTATAAAATTTACTAGCATCTCTGCTCCCCAGAGTACTCTTTGAATTGCTATAGAGAATAATCTCATTTAATCACCCTCGTGGTATTTGAGGGGAATGTAAGTATTTTCTTTTAAAGATAAGGAAGTTCTGGCTGTCGGTTAATAAACAAATTGTTCAGTATTTCAAGGCTTGTGACTCGAAATCTGTTTGAATTCAGTTTCTCTATTCTAAGAAGTGAATATGATGTTGATTTGATTTCTGTTCTTTTAAAAACTATACTACATAACAAGAGAAAGCTTAAAATTTATAAAAGTGTCATGTTTGCTTTTTCTTATTTGGCGTCTTGTTAGAAAATCCTAAGCAGTCCTGACATATAAGTGCTGAATCAGTTTGCAGCTTCTGGCAGTACTCTTTCAAACCCCTTGGAGTGCTGCCAAAGGGACAGGGTCCCACGCGCATGTGGCCTGAATTCGCATCCAAATGAGCGCCTGCTGCCACGGCCCCATCAGTCCTGTAGTCAGCAAAGCCAGCTCTCTCTCCCTGGTGGAACCCATTCAACAACGGAAAGCCTTGCCAGTATTCCGTGCTAGTTTTTATTTTACTCCTCTTTTTACTAAATGGTCCATTGCCTGAGTATCTTGGAGACAGAGCTAATGAAGTTCATCTTTCACTAGTTGGTATTTTAGTGTTCCACAATAGTAGTTTACTCGGTTTTAGTCAGGATTACTTAAATGACCTTTTGATATCTGTCTGTGCCCTCCTGTCCTCTTCCTCTTCCTCTGTCCTGCGTTGCTTTGGAAAAGACAAGATATTTTCATTACAAAAATACACTCTTGTAAAGAGAATGATACTGCACAATCTATTTTTTAAAGTCTGTTTCCCCAAATTAGCAGAAACAAATAATTCAAGGAGAAGTAAATTCAATGATATTCTCCCTGTGGGTAACTAACATTGATCATCCTTAATCCTTGATATGTTCATTTTTCTTTGACTGTTATGCTGGACATGTGCATTTAATTAGAAGGTATTATAAATTGATTTGAAAAGGGATAAATTTGCAATAAATAAAAAATTAATGACCACACCACATATATCCCCTAATATCCCAGTTCAAAATTTTCTATAATATCATCCCACAGTAAGACCACTTCAAAATCTAAAATATGTGGTTACTTTTAAGTCATAGAGTCATGTTATATTTTAAAAATATTATTTATTTAAAATGAATAGAAACAGATTCTGTGTCTTCTGGTGAAAGTTCTCAGGCCAATCAAAGTGAACCATCTTGATATTCTTACTTCATAGCAAACCAGGAAAGTTGGCCTTCTTCTTAAACAAAATTATACATTAGAAAAGCAAAACATAAAAGGCTGTTTGTATAACTTTTACTATGTGTTGTTTCTGTACTCATTTCTCTGTACCTTTTTGTCCTTTTCATAATTCAGTTACTTGACAATTTTTGGAGTGTGAAATGCACAGAAAGAAATTACAATTAGCTCTCTCTCTTGCAGGGAAGCAACTCAGCCATCTGCAGCAGGCATTGGTCCCTCTCTTACTGGGCCTCATGCTTTGTTATGCATGAGTAAGCACATTAGCCTTTTCATTTCATTCATTAGACTTTTAATCCTTGATTAGTGTTTTCAGGAATCTCTCAAATATACAAGTTCTTTATTTCCTTTGTCTTGTGCTGTCTTTTTCTTTTATCTCCACTCTGAAACAAAATTAACATTTAATCACAACAATAGCCCTGTTCTATTGAGATGACTGGTAAATGTATTTGTTTGTCATCTGAGTGATTAATCGTGCGTGGATGGAGACTGGGAAAATATCTCCTCACTTGGAATAACAGGGTTAATTGTTCCATGTCAGTTAGCGGGGTCTGTGCTTGAAAACCTTACATCACAATATTCTACCAGTCTCACACATTCAGTGTAATTCTTATATCAAAGAAATAGCTGAAGGGTTTCCTAAAAGTAAGAGACACCCCATTGGACGCAGAAGTATTGCACTGGGGGTCTTAGAGATGAGATATACTTGTACCAAATTCTCCAAAAATAAATCTTTCCCTTTGTGGCTCTATTTGGCAAGATAGTCCAGAAACTCATTTGTGGTATGAAGAGTTCCTAATTACACATCTGAGAAATAGAACCTACTATTTAAAATAAGTCAAGTATTATTCTAGCCTTTACTTGATCACACCTTCCAACTATCTTTTTACCCATAAATAAAGCAGCAGAAGCTCTCTATTTGACCATTTTCACTTAAGCTGTCTTTTCATCCTTCTTTAACAATACTTTCAACTGCTATTTGGCATTTTTTTTTATCACAATTACTATCTTAAACATGCTTTGAGCATAGGGGAAAACAGTTATTAGAAATACATAAATTAAAACCAAAATCAATTCCTTGATATAAATATGACAAATAACCAATTGTGACATGATCATAGAAATCACACTGGCTGAGAATTTATATTCACCTTTGCCAAATTTCAGAACATCTTTTTGGCAATGATATTGAAAAGAAAAAGGTCATTACAAATATAATGTTTTTTCTTTCAATTTGCATTTCCACAAGATAACAGGATCATAAACTTACTTTTTTTTATTCTCCTGTTTCTCCTTTTAGGATGCCTCCATCGCACATAGATTCCACATCATGAGAGAAAAACACCCTGAGAAATTCAACAGTAGGTAAGGTAACAAATGAAAACATATCACGGTTGCTGCTGCTGATGAATTGTGTCACAATAAAAGATTTAAAACATTTTATATGGAATGACTGAATGAGGGTCTACGTGGTGTGTGTGTGTGTGTAACTATTAAGAGGAAATATAAATTAATTGAAAATTTTAACTTTTAGAATGACAATGAGGAATGCAGCATGGCCATCCCTTCAATTTTCATGTGTTGTAAGACAGATTTCAAGTATATGATGAAAATAATAGTTTATTAACACGTACTAGAATTCTTTATGTGGTTTAGCACAAGGTGATCATCCTTAATCTGAAGGAAAAATGAGAGGTTCTAAGTTGATAATGCTGAATAATATAGTTATTTCTAAAATAGATTACAGCATAGATAATGCTGAAATAAAACACAGGTTTATAAGGGATATAATCTTTGGAATATCCATCGCATATTGGCCTCAAAAAGCTCATGGTAAACTAGAGCAATATATGTGACAATTTAAACTTTTTTGAAAGACTTTCTTTTCACAGAAAAAGTAGGTTTTCTCATAATAGCAATAGGCAAACGTTTTCCTCCAACATGTAAACGTTGACCTTCGTAGTTAGAAGAAAATTCAGCTCTCTCCAACTCACTTCCCTAAAAAAATAGTAGAGAAGTCGATTATCTTTTCTTCTGGGTTTACTCCTTTCCAAAAGAAAATCAGAATTTCTGTGTGGGTATTTCAGTGACTTTACACAATTATGTTCAAAGCCAAAGTTTCCGTTCTCTATATTTGGCTAAGCCCGGCATCATGACATGAATACTATTCACTCACTATGTATTACATAACGGCACCTGGAAATGCTTATGTTTCTCCCCCCATTTGTTCACACACATGTAATGACATACTTTTCTTCCATGTAAATTAATAATAAATAACCTGTATAAAAATTTATTTTCAAAATTGTTTCAGATCTTTTTAATCTGTTGACTTGAATGTGCTATTTTATGCAAGAATTGTCTTGGTAAATAGTCTCACAGATTCTAAATCTCACTAAGCTCATTAAATTCTCTTGAATGTTTTGGTAAGACAAATACTTCTATACTTCAGGTGTTGGCTTTGTTCCTTACTCTACAAATAAATCAAAACCTTATGGTTTACTTGTTCTCTCATAGTTTAGAAAGCTATAATATTTATTTTAAAGGAAATAGAAAATACATATGCTGATATTTATGTGTGTTTTATACTTTTAGAAGGATTTGGAAAAGTTTTGCAACCCTGTTTGCTCTGGAGAGGGGAACCAAGTGGTGTGGTTACAACTGCATTTTTCTTCGGTACTTTTAGTACTTGGATTTTTGTTCAAATGTATCACAAAATCAAGTGAAAAATACTCTGGTTAAAATTTTGTACCTCTAAACATTCTTTGTGTCTAAAATGAAGACATTTTTCATCTTACAAGATTTTGATCACTTCATTGAAATTATTTTCACTTTCTTGGTTTCAGCACTTCATGATTCATCTTGAATAGCCTACTTAATAAAGTTATTAACCTACATACAGCAACTGTATAAGGTAGAATAGCTTAGGCTTTCTTAAATGGCATTTATGACGCATTCATAAATTTATATTCATACAGTATAAGAAGTTTTAGGACAGAAAAAGCTGCTTGGAAAACACAGCATGCAAAAGTTTCACAATGTACAAGACCGTTAAAGGTTTAAGAAATATTCAGGGGGGAATGTTTAAAATCTACAAGACTCTAATGCCCCAGTCTTATTCAGAGAGGAGAAACACAGGGAGAAAAGGAGAGAGAAAGTGATGGACTGGGAGGAAGAGAAACAAAGGGTGGAGATAGATGATTAAAAATATAAAGAGGTAGGGCCGGGGATTTAGCTCAGTGGTTCTGGCGCCTGCTACGCAAGTGCAAGGACCCGAGTCCGATCCGCG